CCTAGTTTTTTAACTAGGATGGGGTGAGAGACGGTGTCAAAGGCCTTGCTGAAGTCCAGAAAGACTACATCCACCGCGACACCTGCATCCATGGCCTTTGTGACCTGATCGTAGAAGGCAATCAGGTTGGTCTGACATGATCTCCCCCTAATAAATCCATGCTGATTGCCCCTGAGCATCATTTCTGATGCCGGCCCATCACAAATGTGCTCCTTGATGATCTTCATAAACATAAACATAAACTTTTGATTTCCTCCTTTTCCCACTTCTGCACATACTATATTTACTTCTCCTCCTGATCCAACCAGATCATTTTCCTAATGCAAGCTTTTCTTTCCTCCCAAATCACCCAACTTACTCCTTGCTCACGCATCCTGTTCTCCATCCTTTGAGTGCAATGCATTTCCTGATCATTCTCTGTGTCTTTGAACCAATAGCTCCTATTCTTTCAAGTCCTAACATGTTATCTTTTTTTCCCTCTGTGTTATCCCTTTTACATTCCCCCAGTTCTCCTGGCTCCTAGACCTAGGTCTGTTCAGAATGCAACTGTTGGCTAGGAACTCTCCATTCCCTTTTCTCAATAAAGTGTTGGAGACTGTCTTGAAATGTCACTATTCTTTGAGGGTTCCTTATGTAAATGAGCCCCAGAATTTATTGCATGTTTTTGATCTTAAGAAGAAGAGATTAGGGTTCAATCCTGCAAGGCTCTCTTGACCCTCAACTCCTGTGTGCTTCAATGGGAGTTGAAGACACTCAACATGTCAGAGGGGTCACTTGGTGCTTCAAGACTCAGCCCTTGATGATGGTCCAACCAACTGCCATAATCACTGAGATTCAGTCATGGACTTTGTTGGAAGAAGTGCCTATGCTGGTTTCAGAAGTGACCTCTAATTGAGTAGGCATGAGATACATATCCAGACTGCAACTCACCTTCCCACAGAGTCACATTTAGTCTGTAAATGGGCAGAATCAATATCATCTATCCAAACACTTCAAACACAAAACCGCTATGCTAGAATCTACTCTTTTACAATCCTTGTAATGATGTCATAAAACTGTTTTAGTGTGTGTTCTGTCTTGGACATTTTAATTACCCATGTTAATATCAGCAGAGGTTTCCACAGAAGTCGATGACAAGTCCTACCTAGAAGGGATTGACCTAATAGAGACTCAGAGCATAGATCTCAATGAACCCAACCAATCTATACACAGAGACATATATACTTTGGAACCACATTACAACTTTACTACAAATTTGGGTTAATCTTATTATATGCCAAATTTGTACATTTGTTACCAGGAATCTTTAGGATATTGGTAGAGCAATGTTTCATAAGCAGTAGATGTGTGTGAAATGGACCATATTCAATTTGGATTCGGCCCGAATCAGGGACAGTGGTGCGATTTGTTGATTCAGATTACTGTCCCCAATTCAATTCGTCTGAATCTGAATCTGAAGAGTCGATGCTGATTCAGAGAACCAGCGATTCAGCCATAGACACTGCTTTAAATGTTTTTTCTACATACCTCGAGGTACCAGGTGTGGCTTGTGAACACTGTGATGCTGGGGCAGATGGAGCGTCCCAAAGGAGTGCAGGGGGCCCCTCCTACATGCTCAGCGGTGAACCCAGAAGTGGACCAGATGTACTTTTGGTCCACTTCTGGGTCTGCCGGGAGCATGCCAGGAGGCCTCCCACACCCCCCCCCGGCCCGGCTCAGCGATTGGCCCCGGGGGACCCTGGGTGCCCCCTCAGACCTAGGAGGCACCAGTTGCTGAGCTGGAGGAGCGCAGGGGACCTGGAAGTGAACTGGAAGTGCTTCTGGTCCAATTCTGGGTCTGCTGGTGAGTGTGCTGGGGAGCCCCTCATGCTCCTGTGGGATGCTCCATGTGCCCCACCATCTCAGGATTGACAAGCCACCTGGTACCTTGAGGTATGTAGAAAAAACATTTAAAGCTATGTCTATGTCTGAATCGCTGAGTCTTTCCAAATCTCTCTGAATCGATTCCAATCGATTTGGAGAGATTAAAGGGTCTCCTGATTTGATTTGGATTTCAGGATTTGGCCACCAAATCGGGCTGAATCTCTGCCAAACTGAATCAGGGACCGAAGCTTTGCACAGCCCTAAAAAGCAGTATAACGCATAAGCTGTGCATTCATTCTGAGAAAACACTCAGATTATAAGTGTGGTAGTAGTGAAAGCAATGCATTTTTAAATTTTTGAAATGATGTGACAGAGAGAACAAATGGGAGGGACTGGATATTTTCTTTTCAGTATAAATTGTATGAAAGCAGCACTACATCTGATATGTGTATATATGGATATAAAAGAGGAGGTTGAGGGGGGACCCGGTGGCTGCCTACAAACTCATTTGGGGAGATCATCAGCAAATAGGAACAGCCCTATTCTCCCCAGCACCACCTGGGGTGACAAGGAACAATGGTAATAAGCTGATGGAGAATAGGTTTAGGTTAGAGATCAGAAGGCAATATTTTACAGTTAGGGTGGCCAGAATCTGGAACCAACTTCCTAGGGAAGTGGTCCTTGCCCCTACCTTGGGTAAATTCAAAAAGAGGTTAGATGATCACCTGTCTGGGTTCTTGTGAACCCAGTATTCATTCCTGCCTGTGGCAGGGGGTCAGGCTAGATGATCTGTTCACGTCCCTGCTGACCCTAGCTACTATGAAACTATGAACCTAAAACAAATGACACAAGAATCTGCTAATGCTCATACACAATGACTTGGGTCCAAATATAGGAACAGAAAAGGGAATAAACAAACTTAAAATATTATGTGGACTAACAAAAGTATCTTATGTACAAAAGTCAGCTATCAGGAGTATTTGAAAACTGTTTTTTAGCTTTCTCTGAGTGATTTTGATTCTGAAAAGTCCTCTAAATTAACCTTTGAGTAAACATGATTGCTTCTATTGTTACAAAACACCATTATTATTAAAAGTGTAGCAGTTTCACAAGACAAGGTATTGTTTTGACAATTTCCAAGATACTTCCTGAAAGGAGAAGCTCACCTTTCTCTAGGCACACATTTCTATAGACAGGTCTTCCCTCCTTGTTGACATCTAATTGCATCCAGCTGTGGAGGTATTTTTTGCCCAGCTTGACCATTACCTTCTGGCCTTGTTTTGTAAGAAAAAGAGAGCTATTTGCCACCTGAAGGGCATTTTCCTTTTCATGGCAGGTCCATCTAGGTGCCTGAGGGCAGTCAATCATGGTGCTGCGAGAAGATGGAGCAGTGATCCTGGAGATGCCTAGACATTGGCCCGATTTAAGGTGGAGCAGTTTCTCATCCTCTGTCCATTTCCACTGCTGGTTGGGACTGGTCAGATTGCAGTAACCCACAGTTACTGTTTTGGTTCCATAAAGACACTGATTTCTTGGAACATGGATAATCAGAAACCCTTCTGGAAAATGAAAAAACCCATAAAATACAGCAAATAATACACGGTATTTAAAAATAATTCTCAATGACTTAAAAGCACATCAACAAACACGTCTTTTTTTCTCCCCCTCTTTCTATTATCTCAGTATCTATGACATGAGCCAGCATAAAAATTAAAAAAAACCCTACAGAATGCAACAAACACAAGAATGTAACAAACAAACTATTTTTAGTAAAGTTTACCTTGACCATTCACATTAAAAAAGAAATCGGACCTGCATTAAAATTAAATCCATAATTGGTAATGACTTTCAACCTACTTTTGAAGATGTCTTCTTCCTCTTTTCAAAGAATACAGAGACCTTACAGGAGACTTTAGTCTTTGATAATTTCAATATAGAGACCTCTGGTAAGTCAAGTTTATGATTCTTGGCTAGAAACTATTTTTCTATAAGCTGTTTTATTTGTGAAAATACATGATAGGGGACTCTCTGATAGCTTTCTGCCTCTATACGAGTGTGTTCCATTTATCTTTGGAGGAATATTAATGATACAACTCTGCATATCTTATTGTCCTAAATACACTGGCATTTCTCTAGACATTTTTTAACCATAGACGTTTTTGAGCCATCTTACTATAGACAGATCCCTGCTTAAATATATATACCACAGAAATTAACAGAACTGAAATCATTTTCTGAAAAAAATGCCACTAGCTTCAAATACACACTTGCTACAAAGCACAAAATGCAATCACCACCTCTATTTTCTTTAACCTTTTTTTTTAAATTTAAGTTACTCAGTCAAAATTTCCAGTTCTAGTGGATTAAAAAAACATTTCAAAACACTATCTACATTTTCCTTGGCTGAACTTTTCATTCTGCCTTTTTATGGTGCAAGACACAAAATCACAATTGAACTAAGTACTCCATAAAGCTTCTAGTTTTGTAAGTTTCACAAAACATTAATAGTAGTAGGGCAGTCTCCTCAAAGGAGGTTTGTTTAGGGCTCAGCCACTGAATTGTCTAGGAGGAGATCTTCTAAAAAAATGAGGTATATACAGCATTCAAGGAGTGAGTTTATTTTCCTTTGGAAAGAAATCTAAACAGTACTGGCTTTGTTGGCCCTGCCCCCAATCCCTCTTATATAAACTCAAGCTGAGAACTAACTCTATATTCATGGCTTTGGATACATTTCCGGCAGTCCTGAAGTGTTCTTGTCAGAGTTTGAAAGGGACCTGGAACGAAAAGGGAAGCAGAGGCTACACTTACCTGAGATTGTGAAGGCGAGGCAGGTAAAAATCAGGACATGAAATAAAGGATCCATTTTCCATCTAACAACTCCCCATGCTTCTCTTTAAAAAAAAAACACCTCAGATAAGTGAAGCAAAGGCTAGGAAGGAAACGTGCCTTCACAGGGGAAAAAAGTCAGTGACGAGCACTTCCTTCTATTCAATTGTTTTGCGGAGTTTTACACTAGTTTGTCCTTTCATATAATTCTTCACAGTTTACTGACTCTTGCTTTGGAAACATTGAAACAGAAGAAGGATAGATTTTTCAGACTTCTAAGCTGTAAAAAAATAGATGATTCAACATCTGAATATGTTACTGGACTAAAAATATAAAGAAGAGGGATTGTAATTTTATATAATTGACTGTTCATGAAACATTACATGTCTGCAGGTGATTTGGACTGTGCGAAATAAACACATACTGTATTACCCAGAAAACGCATACACAATTTTTATAATGATATGTTGTGTGTCCATCAAAGCTAAATCCCATTACATGATATCACTTTCTCCTCTTCCTTACTGTTTAAAGTATCCGTGGAAGTAATTCAAATCTATGAGGTCCTTAACTGAGTCCTTACTCAGGTAAACTCCCATTATGGGATCAAGTGATGCTGACTTGGCTTCACCATCACGTGACCCACTTTGCTCTATTAATGGGGGTTTCCTTACATAAAAACTGGGTGAAAACCTCAAGGATTTGGTCCTCCAGTTGTTAAAATCCAGCATGAAATGAAACAAACCATACTGGGCTACATTTACCTATCAGCGTACAATAATAGTGATGGTGAACTACTGTAGGTAAAAATACAGACTTCACTAAGTATTTTATATCAAGTATAGTTTATTGGCAGTATGAAGCAAAGTCAACATCACTGCAATTAAAAACTCATTATACCTGTGTGAATACCTCCCAGTGATCTCTATGAGTAATAATGTCAGTTTTCTGTTTCACTTTAAGAACAAACCCTTGAAGAAATGTAAGGAAACATTCATAACATCATTTTTGTATAACTTTCTTTTATGGAACAGTTCATAACCCCAAAGATAATGGTCTCTTTATGGGAAGAGATACAACAGGTAAATAACATATTCAAAAAATCCCCTCTTAGTAAAAGACAGACAAATATTTAAAATTCCCACCATTTAATATATGCTACAAAGTTTCTTTTAAAAGTAAAATGTCTCACACTGATTACAAATACACTGGAATTAGGTCTGTAGCAGAAGCAGTTTCTAAGACAATCAACATTATAGAGTAAATACATATACATTTAATAACAGACATTGTGCTCTGTTACAGCTTTAGTGGACCTACTGTAAGTACATATTTAATAGCTAATAGTATGAAGAACAGATACGTCCATATAAAATATTAACTGCTTTTGAATAGTTTCAAAAACAAGACTTTTTCATCTTTTTTTAAACCATAACTGATCACTTGCAACTTTAGCAGCAAGAATATTATGTGGTTAAGAAATAAGCTCACCACATAATAGGTAATAGCACTTAACAGGTACAATTTAATAGCTGACAGTCCATTCACAAGACAGAGTTTGCAAACGTTAAAGCATTTATACATTTGATAAACATTTCTTCTGTAGAAGTCCCGGTGTCCAGCTGACTGCAGCAGTAGCACATACATACAGTCCACATGGCAGATACTGTTATTACAGAAATAAATCCACCTTTTAGATATGTGTGAAATCCATGTGTCGCATCAGTACAATACCCTCTTGAAAAATCATTTTTGGAAAGCTTACATACATTCATATACAGTAAGGGTCCAGCAATCTTTATACTTTTGCCAAACCATACACAATCCTTTCACAAGTGGCTTCAAAGCCTCTCTTTCCACTGCAGTAAACTTCTTGAAGAAGCTGCTGGTAGGTAATGAAACAAATTACCTCAAGAGATTTGACATTTTGGTCACCTTTCTTGGCTTCACTCGACAGCTTCTGCAGAAAGTCTGCTTTCATACAGACTCAGTGCATGGTGCACAAATTCATATTGTTCACTGGTCTGAACCATTCCACCCCTGAAAAAAGATATAACAGAGTGTAACCCACTGCTTAAAAATCCAGCAGCCTCTACCACTTCTCAGAACCAGAAAACTGATCCTGAGCCCTTTCTTGAGTGTTGACTCAAATGGGAATTAGTCTGAATAAATGGGAGGTTTGCCAGAGTGTTCAAACTACCGTCAGTTTTTGTCAATCAAGTGTATAACATGCATGCTTGCTCCTGACACTACATGGGCAAGAATGATGAGGGAAAGTATAGCTGGACCAATGCTGTAAACATCTAACATTCACAGGAAATTTCCCTTGGTCAGGTGGGCAGGTAGGGTAAGGCTCATGAAATCAGTGGGAGTATTCATGGAGTAAGGAGTTATTCAGGGGGATTAAAAGGTGTCAAAATCTGGCCCTTCACTTCAGCAGATTTCATTCTTCTTCATGTACTAAAAATGTAACCTTTATGGCCCTTAGATTACATGTACAGAGAACAGCTCTTCCTGTCGTCTCTCACGCCTACAAAGCATCCTGTCTGAACAGCAGACCCAGAAGCAATTGTAAAAGCAGTGACTCATGTCTGTGCCAAGAATACAACTTAGTTTAATTTGACCATAAAAAGTATTTGGTGAAGTTAGTCTGAATAGTCCAGCCGGCAGCATGCTTGCTTTCAGGTCAACATCTGTGATGAAGTCCCATACTAAAACCAAAGTGATGGGGTGGTAGGAAAGAAGTGACCAGTACTGGAGGTCTAGTGGAGGCTACAGTGCCTCACTAGTGGTGATCTTTCAGACTAAAAATTGAACTGAGCTTCTTTTGTTGTCATCACTTGGATCCACCAGCCACTGCTCATTGCACTGCTGGGACCCAGAAGCTGCTGCAACATTATGGTGTTGAAAGCAATTGAAGAATGACTCTGTTGCCACTGTGTGGGTCAGCAGAGAATTCTTTCTTTCTAGATTGGGGCAGGCAATTATTTTGGGTGGAGGGCCACTTACCAAGTTTTGGCAAGCTGTCGAGGACCTCATGGGTAGTCCCGCCCCTTGACAGGTGCCCTGCCCCTTGTTGCATCTTAGAACCGGAAGTCCTGCCCCCTAACCTCTGACCTTTGCCACCATAAGTCCTGCCCCTTGTCCTGCAAGTACTCCTTTCAGCAGGGGGGTTTGTCATCTCAGAACCAGAAAAATACCAAATTATATTCTAAAAAGTGAACATCTCAAACATTTATTAATTTGATTTCAAAAAATATTTTTGCCCTGGTTTACATGTGTTTGTGTAGTGTACATAGAGGTGATTGCACAATAGCTTAAAATGAAGTCTTACACTTGTATATTGTGGGGGGTGGGTATAGGTTGTGGGGGGGGCTGTGGGTATGTTGGGTGAGGGAGCATGTGGGTGTTTGTGTGGATATGTGAGGAGTGGGTGGGTATGGGATTTGTGGGGAAGGGTGGCTGGGGTATGTGAGGGGGTGTGGGTCTGGGGGTCTGCATGTATGGAAGTGCGATGTGGGGTGTGAGTGCATGTATATAGTGGGGTGTGCATGTGGGACTTGTCCTACGAACACACACATACACACACACACACACACACACACACGCTACTCCTGCCTACACACATGCACACACTGTATCTGCCTGCATGCATGCACACACACTGCCCCGCCTGCACACACATATGCACACACTCGGTCCCTGCCTACGCACACACACTGCCCCTACCTGCACACACACTACCCCTGCCTACACATACACACACATTCTGCCCCTGCCTGCACACACACACTGTCTCTGCTCGCATACACACACACTGCCCCTGCCTACACACACACACATACACACACACACACACACACTGCCCTGCCTACACACACACACTGCCCCTGCCTGCCTACACACACCCACCCCCCAACCACCACCTACACAATATACAAGAGCAGAGCTGACCCAAGCAGGGTGCGGGCCCTGGGGCAAATCAGCCCATGCGAGGCCCCTGCTCCGA